TGACGCATTACCACTCTCGTCGAGTTCAGTGCCACCACAACTCAAGCCCCTTCCACTGGGTATGTGTGTTGTTGTGTTAACTGACGCGGTGGTTTGTGATTATGTGGATGTACATCTGGGGGCTGTAGTATCCAGTTGCCCTGAAGAGGGGGGGGGGAAGGATCACCGAACACATGTGATTATTATGTGCACCCTGTGCGAATAGAAGTCCCTCTTGAGCACAGCCCCCTCTCAAGTAAAGCACCGCTCAAATATAATCCCTCTCGAACAGCGCTCCTATTGAATAGAGCCATTATGGAATAGACCCACTAAGGATGGACTATGGATCCACTAATCACTATGGATCAGAGCTTCTGTCGAGTACATGTAGAATCGAAATGGTTCTTCAGCCTAGTAGCGCTCAGCTCATCACGAGGCTGAGGACGACGGTGGATGATCTCCCTCCACTCCGAGCGGTTCTGGGTAGTGTCAAGCCAGTCCTTCTCCGGGGCAGGTGGACGAATGCGGTTGAAATCGTCCACAACCACATCCCGCCAACGCTTGCGTGGGCCATGCTGAGGTCGAGTTGCAGAGAGCTCCCCAAACAGGGTACACTTGGGCAGACGGTCATCGTCCATGTGGCCAATATGGCCGAGCCATCGTAGCCGAGGCTCGCGGATGATGTCGCCGATGTCCGAATCAATTCCGAGGGTCTTCGCCAGTGTTGAAGAAGTGACTCGATCATCCCATTGCCGGTGTCTCGAGATGCCGACAATAGCCCGCACGCACTGACTGTGGAATGCGTTAAGACGGCGCAGATCAGGAGCCTTGGTCGTCCAGGTCTCTGCTCCTTACAACTGGGTCGTAAGAACGAGAGCCACGTAGATACAACGTCGACATCGGAGGGACAAGGAGCGGTTCCCGAAGACAGGTGCCCGCAAGCAACCAAACACTCGAGACGCCTTAGAAATCCGCGACTGCACATCATGCGCACAAAGACCATCCCAGTGAATCACGGACCCAAGATATGTGAATTGGTCAACGGCGTTGATGGTTCCATTCCCGAGATGATCGGGCTCACTGGTGGGAGTATTGATTGATATAGCTTTGGTCTTTGTCAAGCTGACGGTCAGTCCCCAACCAGAAGCACAAGCCACAAACGTCTCCGCACACCGATCAAAGGATGCCTTGGACGTGGCGTATAGCGCAGCATCGTCAGCAAACTGCGACTCCATTACAGTGAGACGTTGCAGACGTGACTTGGCAGTTCGGTCGCCAACCATCTCTACACACACACACACAAACACACGTGCACACACACGCACGCACCCACGCACACACACACGCACACACACACACACACACACACACACACACACACACACACACACACACACACACGGTACACAAGCTTGGAGTCGGTGGTCTACTCACGCTACCAGCAGAAGGTTGACTGCGGTGTGTGGCAGTCGTTACAGTCGTTGCAGCCTTCAACTTGCAGGGTTCTAGCCAAAGGGGTGTGTGGGGGGGGGGGGGGGGGGGCAGCGCCCCTCTATTCTGTTTGCAAGCCCCTGTGAAAAAGTTACGCCCCCTAGACCTACTCATTTCCCGATTTTCGTGTTTTTCATGCAATTCAACGAAAATGCAGTCGAAAGTCACAATTTGACTCACTATTAGATGGTTCAGAAAGGCACACTTGTCTGGGGCGAAGTCGGGATTCGCCCCATACGTTGCATTTAGCGTGGCAAGACAATATTGGAAAGTGGAAAAATGGGATACCGAGTAACTGTTTCCCGTGCCCGCCCCCCCCCCCCCTCCCCCCCCCCCCTACTATTTTGACCTTGCTAGAACCCTGCATTGGAATTATGATCTCAGAGTTCTTTTAAAGAAACTATTGAACCTGCTCACTGATTTTGAAACTTGATGGTTACCATAGGGATACGCCATTCGCTTCGCTTCCACGTAAAGATCTCCGAAAATAAGTACACAGCTCACTGCACGTCTGTTTTTGCTCCTGAGCGTGCTGTAGTGATATTCTGGAAACGGTCGTCAACTTCTCAGAGTCTAGTTCCCTTGACAGGTCTGCTCCTTGTACTGTCGTGGACATGGAAATCCGGTCGCATGACTAGCGGCCCCAGGGCGCTGGCCATGCAGCGGCTGCGCTGGTCGCATCGGATCAACATGTGCACTGCATTCAATGTTCTGTACGTACTGAGGGCGCCGGCCCGGTCAATCGACTGGATTTCCATGTCCACGACAGTACATGTATTTTGTATTTGTATTAATTTTGTATTTATGGATTCTCCACAGGCCTTAGCCTAAATCGAGGGAGTCTCCGTATGTGCGAGTGAGTGCGATGTGTTGTTGTGAAAACGTTTTGTTTTTGTTTTTCTTCGTATTCTCGTGCTACTGCAGGACAGGTTAGGGAGGAGGATGTTGAACGAGGTGATTCACGTGCGGTCGTCACCACCGCCGCTGCCTCTGGACAAGCTCATCGTGCTGCGCCTGGGGCTATCAGCTTTGTGAGAGCTAGTGACAGTGGTGGGCCTGGGGCTATCAGCTTTGCCAGAGCTAATGACAGTGCCAGTGGTGATCCCGATGGGCGTGTCCCTGGCATGGACGGTGAAGGACATACGAGTGGCGTCGGCGTACCATCATGGACAGCACGCAGCCGCCACCACCACCACCCATCATTAGTCAGCGGTGTCAGTGAGTATGCCACACGACACCGTCCGGCGCCGAACAAACAGACTGCGGCGGCGGCGGACACACGCCTGCACACGCGCCTGCTGACCTACTTTCCACGCATGCCGGGTAATTCCACTCTGCGGCCGGAGGAGAAGGTCGCTCTGTACCGCGCTCATGGCAAACAGGCGTTTCTAGCCGGAGCGCGATTCGCTCGTGTCCCCGCTTGCTCCCTAACCGATATCCTCAGGGCTCGCATCGGTGAGCGCCCGACTCCAATCCACCTTCTTAAAGTGGTAAGTATTTTTACTGTGCAGCGTGACCCTGTAAACTGTTCTATGGCCCGTTGGTTGTGATAGGAGACACTTCCAGGGGCGTGACTGGTCCCCCTTTCAGGGGGGTGCACGGCCGCATATGTGTAGGATGGCTGGTGCATGTCATTCATAGTCATTACGTGCATGCAGAACCTGGGTCGAAATTTTAGGGGGGGGGGGGGGGCGTGTGCACGTGCCCCATGCCGGCTACGAGCCTGACTACAGCCGGTGCCGAAAATCCTGGTAAGCCACTGAGGGTGGCCAGTCAAGCCATGCGGCCAAGCACTCTCGTTGATCGCATGTCTCTTTGAACGTACCGTGCACCGACCACAAGTGATTGTTGGTGTTTTTTCCCGGTGGCACGGCCTGTGGCCCAGTGGTGGAATGTGAAGTCTGAGGCTTCATACTCGTGGGGGGGGGGGGGGTGTTAGTCATGGCCTAATAAAGTTCTCACATTCGCATTTCCACCTTCTCTGCAACATGTAGACCTATACAGTCGATTTCAAAACTATAGACGCATACCTAGGCAAAAACCGTTACGCCAGCATCTATACCACATAAAATCTGTGATCACTTTGTGCATAAAATTTTCCAAATTGGGCGTCTGTTATCCAATCGTTTAGAAACTATATGAGAGTAATTGTGGAGCGGACCTGAGCAATATTCCGAAAACTATTCTCTAAAAGTTCCAGCCAAATTTGAAATATTTCAAAAACATTGCGCGTCTATAGTTTTGAAATGGACTGTAGACTTGTTTGTTGCATGTACTGCTCTACATGTATTCGAGTCACCGTATACATCAGGGTATGCTGCACTTGTTGAAATTCTAGCATGTTTGTTCTTCGGCGCCCAACTGCACTTTGTTAGCGTGGCCAAGTTGACTGGTGACGGGTTTCTAGCATATTGCCATTGCCGAGCCGTTTCTACTTTCTCTAGACTACAGGCACTTGGGTGTTCCATGCTGCCATTGATGTGTGTGTGTGTTTGTGTGTGTGTATGTGTGTGTGTGTGTTTGTGTGTGTGTGTTCGTGTGTTTGTGTGTGTGTGTTTGTGTGTGTGTTCGTGTGTTTGTGTGTATGTGTGTGTGTGTGTTTGTGTGTGTGTGTTCGTGTGTTTGTGTGTTTGTGTGTGTGTGTTTGTGTGTGTGTTCGTGTGTTTGTGTGTGTGTGTTTGTGTGTGTGTGTTTGTGTGTGTGTGTGTGTGTGTGTGTGTGTGTGTGTGTGTGCGTGTGTGTGTGTGTGTGCGTGCGTGCGTGTGTGTGTGTGTGTGTGTTTGCATGCGTGTGTGCTCCCGTGTGCATGCACACGTGTGTGTGCGCTTGCTGTGTTGCTAACTATGGCACGCGTACCGATACACACGGACACACAGGATGTGGAAGGCGCTGAACTAGACGTTTTGACTAGTCTTACTGCCGAGTGGTGGTGTCATGTGCAGCGTGTAAGTAGTCTACATGCCCATGCACGTGCATATTGCTGCAGTGGTTGCGTGAACTTTTTTTGGCAGTGTATGTACCGAATCGGATGCCCATGTTATCTATTTCAACGCTGAGAGACGTGTTAGGGCATACATGTATACTAGTATTTAGAGCTATATGTATGTGCAGTAACTGAGTTGCGCTCGGTGAAATCCCATCCCGCAGAGCAAAACTGGCGGCCTGAACCTGTTCTGCTTGCATCATTGTATTCGTACCTTTGGACCTGTGGAAAGCGCATCGCCAAAGGTGATGATAGCTAACGTACATGTCTACGTCCAGCCGCATTCGTACCCCTTCCACGGGCGTCAAGGGCTGTGCAAGTTGAGGGCTCCAAATACAGTAACGCACTGTGGGTCGGATTTCATAGAGCACAACTGTAGTTTCCACATGTACACCTTTTTAATAGTTTTTATTTATTTTTTTATTTTTTAACGAGAACACAAACCTACAAATCATGTTAAAAGACAAAAAGTACATTGGACTGGGTAGGCGCTATCCACAATGCCAGTTAATAGCTGTGCTGATGAAATACATGGACTGCCGACCATGGGTCTCGGCGTCACAGTGCCATGTATGCATATACCTATTGTACAGTGTCACATGCATGGCGGGATGGGGGGGGGAGGGCGTTCACTTGTCACCACTGATTTTAAGCAGTCGATGTCTGTCGATGAGTGGATGTTTACGTGTGTATTCATGTGCGTGTGTGTGTGTGTGTGTGTGTGTGTGTGTGTGTTTGTGTGTGTTCGTGTGCACATGTGCGTGTGTGTGTCCAGGTTGCAGTGGAGACGGATGACGTGTCCAGGCGACGAGAGTGTGTCGAGGCATGCCTACGCGATCATGGATTCAGCGTGTGTGTTCGCCGCGCTCAACTACTCCAAGACTACCTGTCCTATATTGTATACGGCTGGCGGTAGAACTTCCATTGTATTATCTCTACCGTATGTGCCAACATGGACAAGCCAGGCCCGGTTTCTGTCATGGAACTGTGTATTGACGATGGAGAAGGTATGTATTGTTGTTGTTTTACTTGTATTCGCAGAATCAAACAGACGGCAAGCCCTATTACAAGTGGGTGAATGTGTATAGTGTGTGCATATAAACATCATAGAAGCAGGGTTATAAGAGAATGCAAGGAGCCGTGTGCCCTGTATATGCTACCTAGACTACTTCCCACTGCTTGTCAGACCTCGTTCTAAACAGCACCGATATCTGCATGCAAGTTTTCCTCACTGTGACTGTCAGACGTAAAAAAAATTGTCCAACATGCTCTAGGTCTGATGTTCACTGCAGTTGCTATACAGTCAGTCCTCGCTTAACCGCACGCACATCCGGTTTCCACAAAAAAATATCCGGATAGGGGAGGGAACCGGATAAGCGAACACACGTACTGTATGTATGCATGACACATGCTGTAAATCGGTAACCAGCGATTTTCTTCCGGATATAAAAGAGGACCGGATAAACGAGGTCTGACTGTACATGAAAATAAGCCTCAAAATATTTAAAAAAAATCACAGCTCGCATGAGACTCGGCTGGAGGCTGAGTTTTCTGCACCTGTAGAAACACCAGCACCACCGGCACCAGCACCTGCAACACCTGCAAGGATCAAGGTGCAGATGCAGCTCCTAAAGTGTTGGGAGGTAAGGAGATCAGACCCACCAAAGTGGTGGTCAAATACCGAAAATCCCCAACGAAATAAGCCTAAAATCAGCAACAACAAAAAAGGGGCAGTCCCCACAGGCAGCACATGTGTCACTTTCCGTTTCGTGTGCAGTGTCCTCAACCCTCAGCACCCTTCTTCACGGCTCTCCGGCATCTTGTCTTGTCTTTCGCTGGCATCTGCCTCTTCCTGTCCCGGTACTCTTTGTCCTGGTATAGGATAGCACGATTCTCAGTCTGCAATTGTGCACCCGCTGAACAGCCCATGCAAGGCACAGCATCGGCCAGGTTCCCATGTCTCTTATTGAAGAGCTATTATACCCATGCGATGCACAGCATCGGCCGGGCTCCCATGTCCCTCATAAAAGAGCGATACCACCAAGTACTGTAAAAGCAGAAATTTTCGGATGTGTAATATTTTCGGTATTCTCCTAAATCGGCGGTTCGGTGGAGGGAAATTTTCGGTAAAACCCGTTTTCCAGGTAAGTGTACTACAGTCCATTTCAAAACTATAGACGCGTGAACTCATACGTACGAGTCGTACGTACTGTAGCGCACGACAGCCGTGAGTTTTGCCTGAGTGTTTTCTGGTTTTCAGATGTGTTTTTCAGGTTTTTCTTCGTCGCCACGGGAAATACAAAAGATGCAAACCACGCAAAGTCGCAAATGAAAAGGTGTGAGGAAAGTCTCAAAAGAAATGAAAGTCTCAAATGAATCTTCTTCTTGTTTGCATTTTCTGAGTGCCTGACTGTAATCGCTTCCAAGGCCCGTTACGTAAGAATCTCAGTGATGCCGAGAAAGATATGATTAGTCGTGTTCATTGTTTCTTCGAACAAGAGCTGGATTTTGATCGAAGCTTGAGTATCCGAAATTCTCGTCGTCGAACTCACCTTGCAACTGGCGTGAGTGAAACCACTGTCACTCGTTGTGTCTGGCGAAGGGAACAGGGAGGCTCAAATCATATCGAAAAGAGAAAATATAATTATCATCCCTACTGTATTTCACCCAACAAGATCCAAAACATGCAGAAAAGAAGAGAAAAAAGGCAGGAGGCGTGATGGGATTCGAATGCCCCACACCTGTACTGGAAATCACGGATCGAAACCACGAGGCTACCAGGACCCGTACAAAAATGCACCCGCGATATATATCGCGATGGTCTGGGCGCAGCATGCACTGTCTCAGCAGGAGCAAAAATCCGAAACAAACTGGTCAAACCCTTCAAAACAGGAATTACATGTAAAACCGGAAAACCTGGCCTAAAAATAAACTTCAATTGTAGCGAAAACAAAGTATATAGCCAGAATTGTGAAGCGATGCAGAGACGGAATCTGGAGAAAAAACTAAAATGTTTTAAATAAATCCCATCGAATTTTGCAAAACACTACGCGTCTATAGTTTTGAAAAGGACTGTAGTTAGGGGTGAAAAGAGTATCTATTTTGACCAATCGATCACTCATTTGTAATATTCGATCAAGTATCCGATTATTTCGAGTATTTTACTAAAATTCAAAAGAGCTAGATTTGTGGGTTCTCGACCAATTCGGAATAAATTATCTGTGAACATTGAACAAAAGTCGCCAACGTCTTGTACAGAGTGTAAAGTAACGATTTTCATCAGTATTTTCATATCTCGTAACTAACTACCGTTACTCGCCGTGGTGATCGCATGGGTCCAAGTCATAAAATACTGACTTGGCATAATGCATGCATACCCATGCCAGTGGACGAGCATAGCAGCGCAACAAAAGCTTTTCAAAAATGGAATGCCAATACTAAAAAAATAAAAAATTGGAATGGAGGTGGAGGATGAGAGTAGTGATGAGGAGGAGTTTGATGTTGACAAGAGGAAGTCTGCAGTGTACAAGCATTTGGTGTCCAGTCCAGAATGTCGTAAGGTGTTTGACGATTCCTGGTTTAGTGTTATTCGTTGCGCACGTTTCTTCAAGCAATTGCAGGTGTTGGAAGCTGTGTATATTCGTACTCGTGACCCTGTGCTATGTAAACAGAAAGAAAACATTGTATCACTCACACTCTTCAAGTAATACACACGCACCATTACATTCATTCACACAGTATCACATTCATCTGCCACTACCTTTCTCACATACACTATATTCACACATTGCAAAGGTGCGAACTTCGCTTTTTGTACTTGTTAGCTGCTGTATTTCTACCTGAAACCATATTAGCTACATTTATATAAGTGTGTGTTTTAGTTATTACATTTTTATGTGACGGCGTTCCACTGATGACAGTCACAAGAAAACGTTATGGAACTTGACTTTCTTCATTTTTGCTGTTGTTATGAGTGCACAATTTATCTTATTTATTGCCATTTTACGACTATTGTCTCCTCGTCGATTGTTTAAAAAAAACCCGATCGAGTGCAAAATTTCGAATACTCGCTCGTTTGAAATTTTCGAATGAATACTCGAATATTCGAACTAATCGTTTCACCCCTAGTACTAGTACAGGTAGACTCCCTTTAATTCGAACCTCAAATTGCCAGGCCCTAACTTCGAATTATCCGGAACTTCTAATTATCCAAATGCAGCCCCATGTACTGATATGTATGTCAAAATGCTTGAAATCGCATGCTGAATATTTTTTGCACATTTTTATTTGCATCAACGAAACATAGGTGGTCGACTGGTCGTGTACAACGGATCATCAAAACACTTGATCGACACAAAATCATTTTGACATCTTCATTTTCTAGTGAAGAAGTTGTCAGTCACTGCAGCTTTCCTGAAACAGTTTCAACGGAAAAGAACTGCGCTGCCTACTCCGCGTCATGAAAGGCCGTCGGACAGCAGCACGTCGTTCTGAAGAACGGAAGTGGAGCATAGGCATAGACAATATTTACGACAATAGTGTTTTTGTGCGCCAACATCTCCGCGCACGAGCTGGCGCGGCACGAAAGGCCATCGAGATCCGCGAAGAGAGTCAGCCACCTGGAAGACGTCGTCTTCAATCAAACCTTTGCAATTTGCCTCGCATGGGCTTGAAAGAAATTTCGAGAGAAGGTGGGTTTCTTGAACGCTATAGTCGATCCTGCAGCGGACCATCGATCGATTTTTGAGCTACTCTTGGCTAGAGAAGGAGAAAAGAATGAACTTCGAATTACAAGGATAGCAACTCAATCTCACTTCGAAATAAGCGTTCAAAGGACATAGCCAATGTACTGTAAACAGCTCTTCTGTACGAAGACTGGGTTCGAATTATCCAACCGGCGCACTTTTCGTACTTCGAATTATGCATTCGATTTTGACTTGAAGTGACATGCAGAAGATCGGTACGACGAAAAAGTTCGAATTACACGGAATGTTCGAATTATACCGTATTCGAATTAGAGGGAGTCTACCTGTACTACATGTATACAGTATCGGTTAGGGTTGGTTCACATAAGCAAAATCGGTGCCGCAAGACATTGGCGTTGAGCCAGCTCCCGATCCCTTGCGCATACGGTTCGAGTACCAAATCTACTACAAAGTACCGTACTGGCAATATATATGTTGTCGCAGTGAGGCCATGAAGCGTTACATTGGCACATGTTTACCGCACGCAGGGCGTTACATGCAAAGTCGCACAGGAGCCGTTACACAGGTTTCTATATTGCCGCAGTCCTTTTTTTGCTATTGCCGCATCACTTTTTTGCTATTGCCGCATCATTTTTTTGCTATTGCCGCATCATTTTTTGCAAACTGCAATGAAAAGATCGCCGCACCCCGCCGGACGCGCGTTACGAACGCAACGAAAATTTGTCGCACTAGCCTGGTCGCGCGTTACGCCGCACCCTCCTGCGTTACGCGTTACGCGGCAACATATATTGCCAGTACGGTAGTACAGAATGTGCCCAAATGCTACGACAGGTTTGCCAATTGAAGCTTGAATTCTTTGTTTCTTCAGTAGTTCAAGGTCTTTCGGTGATGGCCACTCGGTGCTACCTTTTACCTGGAGATCATGAAACTACTTCTACACCTTTTATTGCAGTCTAGTAAGCGGTGGTGTCGAAATTATGCGAGCAAACGATGATGAAGTCACACAAACTTGTCTATGTATCCTTCGTATTTTTTATTTATTTCAATTGTACTTCCTCCGCTAAGCAAAACTTCGTTGCGTTTTCAGTGTTCTTGTCATGATATTTCTGTCGGCATTAGACATACATATCAGTGATCTATCCCCTACATAGGGTAGTTGAGTTGTCGTCCATTGTTCTGACAGGCTTTTGAACCTCCGAAAAGCGTGGAGTCCTTTGAAAAAATCGGCGAAGCAGAACCGTTTCTCGACAGGATGTCACCAGAACACAACCCCAAGCGCGCGCATGACACCAAAGTGCAAAAATGAGAAACAGTTTGAAAGGCCGCGTGGCTCGAAGAAGTGTCCAGGAGCTGGTCAGCGCTCAGGTACAGCTAGCATGCTGTACTAGCACGAGTCAATGGTGCGCATCCGCACACAGCCAAAATCAATGCACTTGTGTTTGCAGCGCAGGGGAAATCAAAAGCGTTCGACATTCAGGTTGTCGTTCAGTCGGTGCAAAATCCTAATCTCAACGTCGACGACTTGGCGTTCTTCCACAGCCTGTAGACAGACGTGTCACTCGTGACGAAGGAAGCCAGAAAGGAGCTTCTGCAGGGTGTGGAAACGTGCTGGCACGACTACACCGCTGCGAAGATGGGGAGCGTTTGTTTGGTGTGTATGGCTCCTTCAATGGCGTTCCGGAGAGTGGCCACAACTACCAGCGCCACCGTGGAGGTCGTCAGGGTCACAGTTCGAGCGAAGAACTTGATGATCTCCACGATCAAAATAATCATGTCTTGGAAACTTATAAAGGCTGCGGAACAAAAGCTGGCAGCGCTGGCGGCGACAGTCAGCGAGGATGCAAACTCGATGTCATCAGAGAGTGAGTAGTCATCAGATTCAGACGAAGAGTGAAGCTGGACTGCTTTGAAACGAGCTGTGTGACATCTGTAAATAAATATCTTTCATATGCTGCATTGTTTTCCACTTTGCAAAGCGTGTTCGTAGCCATAGAATGATTTGGACTGAACTGTAAAAACGCAACGAAGTTTTGCTTAAAGGGGAAGTTAAGGCAAAAATCAGTTTTTCACTAGTTGTAGTCTTCGGGGTGCTGAGTCGAATGGTTGTGGTCCGAGGAAGCTGAGACGCTCCCTTCCTACTTTGATCCCAATCGAACTCGCGCACTTCCACCGAAACTGGTTGACTGCGCCCTACTAGATGGGGATTTGTATGCAAAATGTCACTAAAAGCGCCATTTCGTTCTTATAAAAGCACGGATGACCGCGATTGGCCCATATGTTGTAGTCTTTTGGACGCTGAGTCGACTGGTTTTGGTCCGAAAAGGCTGCGATGCAGCGCTCCTCCTTTATTCCCAATTGAACATGGTTGAACAAGCGGTCACGTGCTCCTGGGTGCCCAAATCACCTGGTCACCGCGCCAGCAGGCGACAACTCTCACACCAAGGTTCAACTCGAGTTCAACTCGAGTGACAGGACTGCACCCAAAAAAGGTCAAACAGGCTAGTAAGTTGTACCCTGCAGGCACGGTGACCAGGTGACTGGTGTACGTGACCGCTTGTTCAACCATGTTCGATTGGGAATAAAGGAGGAACGCTGCATCGCAGCCTTTTCGGACCAAAACCAGTCGACTCAGCGTCGAAAAGACTACAACATATGGGCCAATCGCGGTCATCCGTGCTATTATAAGAACGAAATGGCGCTTTTAGTGACATTTTGCATACAAATCCCCATCTAGTAGGGCGCAGTCACCCAGTTTCGGTGGAAGTGCGCGAGTTTGATTGGGATTAAAGTAGGAAGGGAGCGTCAGCTTCCTCGGACCAAGACCATTCGACTCAGCACCCCGAAGACTACAACTGGTGAAATTTTGATTTTTGCCTTAACTTCCCCTTTAACGGAGGAAGTATTTGTCTCATAAGTTGCACAACAGTCAAGCAGATTATCCGAGAAGTACGGGTTGGTATGCTGACTTAATTTGCCACCTTGAAACGACTACAAGAATGGCGAACGGACCTCATCTTTAGCTTCAATTTAGGAGAATTAAGGATGAGTCTTGGTTTGAAATTTTGACAAAGTCTGGCTCCCGACACCGGCGATCACCTGCGCGAACGGTTCACAAACCACTTTTGGTCAAAATTGTATGGGATAGGCGCCGGGGCAGATCGCAAGAGTTGGGCACTGTCCAACTTTGCCGGCGGTCCCTTGCGATATTTTACCGTATGATTTTGTTACGACTGCACTGGTTCACGTAATCGCAATGCGCCGGAAGAGGTTGCAAGAGGCCCACTCCCGATGACTCCCGGCGCGTACCGGCGATATGTGAACCAACCCTTATACTGAAAATTTCGGTGCGTTTTATTTTCGGTAAAAATTGTCGGCACCGAAGTAAGTTACCGAAAATAAAACACCACCGAAAATTTCTGCTTTTGCAGTACACAGCAGTTTCAACATTCTAAATGCTCCCTTCTGGACTAGCCGAGATCTGAGGGGAAACCCTCGTCGCTGGCCAGCTTCATATTTTCAGAATAAAATGTTGGGAGTCGTATTCGACTCCCTGGTGTATTCTTAGTATGGTGTAGGAGTTAGAATAAGGATGTGTGGTCGGATGGCAAGTGAAGTGTGTTCCTAAACGTGTGCAATAAGTTCTGCTAATGCGACAAGCTCAAGATTCGATTGCAACGTTTAAGCATGTCCTCGCCTACACCGTCACCTTCGGATGACGTCTCTCCATCACTCGCCAACTCTCTTTCCACCTCGCTGGCTAAGTTAGATTTGTAGAATCGTCACTGCGAACACTTGTACGCTCGCCGCCACTGGCTGCTGCGTTGTTCCCAATCAAAATCTCACAACTTGCATGCCAGTCTCGACGACCTGGAATCGGTTTCCTTGGAGCTGCCTCTTTCTCGCTCGATACTGGAAAAAGGAGCGGCTTCCTTGTATTTTCCATAGGAGCACATGATGTTGTCTGGGCATATCCTGTGCTCCCATGGGATATAAAAGATTGGGCTGGCAGCCGACCAGATACAGTCAGACCTCGCTTATCCGGTCCTCTTTTATCCGGATCCCCCGGCATCCGGAAGGAAATCATTGGTTACCAATTTACAGCATATGCCATGCATACATACAGTATGTGTGTTCGATTATCCGGTTCCCTCGTCTATCCGGATATTTTTGTGGAAAACGGATGTGTGCGGTTTTGCAAGATCTGACTGTACTCAAAGTTCTCAAAATTAGTGTATTGCGGTACATGTGCATCTGGGTGCTTTTTTTTGTAGCTTCAGCTTTGGTACTGTTGTAGCAGATTCTTCAGTGCGTGGGCTTGGCAATGAAGCCGAGGCGGTCTGTCGGCTAAGCTGCGTGCACCCTACTGGCACAGCCACCTGTCAGGCGAAATTACTGGTCAGTCGGCGACACGCATTTTTCACAAATATTTTGCGTTTCACCTGCTGGGAGAGTATGCGTGTACTCGAGTCTCATCCTGAGCACGTTTTTTTCTTCTTTTTTTCAGCTCCAGTATAGCTGCATTTTTCATTGCAAAGCCGTCCTCGATTGTTGTGTTCGTTGTTCAAACGAAGTGGACATTCAATCATGAAGGCAGAGGACATAGGAGCCTGATTGGAGTTTCTCGTGGCATAGGACGGCCACACAGAGACACTTTGGGATTTTCTGAATATAAAATACGGTATGCACGATGCCAAGAGTACATAACCCCAAGAGTGTGCAACTCCAGCTATGGGGTCTGCGACGGCAGAACTTCACATCACGTAATGAACCCGTGCACTCTGTGCATGATAGATACTGGGTTGTACGCAGCCCAGCTTTGGGTACAACTCTCTTGTGGTCACTTTGCACTGTTTGCCAGCATAACCTTTTGAACCATGTCACGTGATGTGAAGTTCTGCCGTCGCAGCACAGCATAGAGGTTGTGCAGGCAGTTGCACACTCTTGGGGTTATGTACTCTTGACAATGCTGAGAACAATTATCATATTTGTGCGATATCAAATTGTTTGTGATCTACCACATCGAGCAGAACGGGATCCAAACACAAGCTTACCGACGGTTAGGCTGCCGACCTGACTGGACAAATGATCCCTGGCTTCACCAGACGCCAGAAGTCGGACACCATGTCCTTTGCCGCGACGTCCATCTCCGAAAAGAACTCCATCTTCGTCGTGAAAAGGCTTGAAATACTCAATATTCAACCGAGATTCGCGGTCTCACCCTTTCTCAGATCGAATCATTTTTTGTTGTAGCAGTTGCAGGGCAGATCCCCGCCACTACTTCAACAGAAGATGGCTCCAAAGCATGCCTGGAACAAGCCATATCAAGGTTGCAAGCCACCCCTCTCAGCACTTTTTTTGAAGAAATTCGAAATTTCAATGGTGGAAGATATACTATGAAGAGAATTTCAAAAGTATGTTTCGCGGAGCGATCGCTCAACCTACGTCATTCAAACTTTGCAGGATGGTTCAGACGTACATGCTAGGCATGGAACCACAGAAGATGATATCATAGCTGACATACAGAGTCACACACACAGCAGATTCGTGTGCACAGATACTAAATTAGTGGACGTCGTCATGTTCTTCCCGCTGATCTCAAATGTACTATGACGTGCTATTTCGCCTGACGTTGGCTCATGGTGGCCCCTGCCACTGTATATCGCTGCCCGTTCCTGCTTCCTGTCAATTTTTTCCTTGGTAGGGTTGTGTTCAATGTAAAAATGATAAAAAATATAAAAATAAAAATAAAAAGGTATCCATGGGTGATTGCAAGAGTACATAAAAACCAGAGTGTGCAGCTCGGATGGGTTGCTGTCACGGCGGAATTCCGTGATTACATCATTTTAGTGATGTAGTGCGTACAAGCAGGATTCAAGCAGGTCTCTTTCTGCACAACTGCAGCTCAGTTGTACGCGCTACGCCATTTCCCGCCTCAGATCTGCGCCAAATGTGATGTAATCACGGAATTCCGCCGTTGTCATGCAGGTTCACACACGCAACGGGAAGACTTCGTGGTAGTAAAATAGATTTTAGAGATTTCGCAAACAACAAAAGAAAACCCTTTCTCTTCCTTTCGAAACACCGAACTTGCCGAGCCCCATGGAAAAACAAACTCTGAAAAGACCTACGCTAGTACGGGATTCAGCGTAGAGCAAAACATATGAGTCATGATACAATGCAGTGTAGCCGTGAACACTGGTGAACAAAGAATGCAGTAGCTTGGCGGCACGTGACCCGTCGTACCGCAGTACGCGACACCCTACGCGACGGTGTCGCGGCTTAGAAATGAAAGGAAACACTGCGAGAAAAGACAAAACGAAAATACATGTCCCTTTGTCAAAACTTAGAAGAAACAAACAAAATGCGACCAAGAATCATTTTGAGAGTCAACGTCAATACTCTTGTGCAGTTGTGCAAATTCTTGTCTTACATTGTGCAACGCAAGAAACAAACAACCAACGAAATGACTCGTGAACTAACTGTAGGCTAAATCACTACATGTACGCGAAATTGCGTTCCACAATAAACTGAACTTTCTGAGACATTTCATATTTCACATCCTGAGAGAAATATTGAATAAATAGTAAATAACTCTTCCCCTCCTCTTCTCCATGCGCTCTCACAGCCGACTCACTGCTACCCTCGGTAGCCATTACACACACCAACAGCCATACAAGGAAGGGTTGCAGGTAGATACTGAAATTCCTCCTGACAGCTGTTTCGCCTTCATAAGGCTCATCAGAGAAGGTGATATTGAATAGGATGATATCAGGTGGAGATGGTCAGATTTATACTACAAAACATGGGCGCAAGATTACGGGCAAAGTGTGAGAATGAGAAGGTACAATTCTCCAGCAACACAGTGCCAGGGGTTCCAAGAAAATGGCAGTTGAGAAATTCAATCACAAGCTGCTAACCTCTCCAGCAACACAGTGGCAGGGGTTCCAAGAAAATGGCAGGTGAGAAATCCAATCACAAGCTGCTAACGTTAATTTTCTAACGGCTAGGTGATAGTTTAAGAATTTGGATTTCTCACCTGCCATTTTCTTGGAACCCCTGGCACTGTGTTGCTGGAGAGGTTAGCAGCTTGTGATTGGATTTCTCACCTGCCATTTTCTTGGAACCCCTGGCACTGTGTTGCTGGAGAATTGTACCTTCTCATTCTCACACTTTGCCCGTAATCTTGCGCCCATGTTTTGTAGTATAAATCTGACCATCTCCACCTGATACCATCCTATTCAATATCACCTTCTCTGATGAGCCTATGAAGGCGAAACAGCTGTCAGGAGGAATTTCAGTATCTACCTGCAACCCTTCCTTGTATGGCTGTTGGTGTGTGTAATGGCTACCGAGGGTAGCAGTGAGTCGGCTGTGAGAGCGCATGGAGGAAAGGAGAGGAAGAGTTCTTTACATTTTATTGGCCGAATAGTACCGTTCACCATTAATTTTGAAATAGTAAATACATAATTTAAAAAAACCTATGGCCACGACGGCCTTCCCAACATACTCCTCCTTGATGCATCCGTATCAAAGAATGAGTAAAATGAGGAAAGAGATCGAACTGACTAAAGATGGCGATAAGTCCATCTAAAACGTGCGTTCGGACTGTCAGCCTTTCACAACCGGACATAGCCGTACAACTGACCTGGTTACCTGCTTGCCTCCGACCTGGAGCTTAGCGATACGCACTCTGCCGTCAGAACCAGGGTAGACCTCCAACACCCGTCCAAGAGGCCACCTGCCACGGGGGGTATCAGCTGACACAACGAGGACGATGTCACCGACTCAGAGATCCGGGTACTCTTTCCACCACTTGGAGTGACGATTCAGGGCTGGTATCCACTCCTGCATCCACCTTCGCCAGACATGGGATACAAGTAGTGTTGAAACGAGCGTATCTATAACAAACGAGCGATCAGTTCCACTAACGAGCAAGCTATCGAGCGAGCTAACGAGTTTCATTGATGTGGCAAATATGATTATTTTTTGGAATAATTTTTTTCTAATGGTTGATAAATAATGGTGGTAAAGACACACCTGGCAATATGGCGGTTAACACACGCCTGCCCACACACGCTCTCTAGGCTGCAGTTCTGGCACTGAGCTCTCCTTCTCACCACCACCACCATCAGTTCGCGCCTGGCGCCTGGTCGATGCATGCATGCAGGTGTGTCTTTACCACCATTATTTATCAACCATAAGTACAGCTGCAGTGGTGTCTTCGACTTAATTTTTTTCTAAGTTCGATTTTTTTCACCTGGTTCAAATTATCACCGCCAGCATTTGGGGTTGCTGCTGCTTCACTTCGGACTGCTGTTTGGTGTCGAGATGTCTTTTCAGCGCCATCGTCGATTAGCCTTTGTAAGAATAGACCGTTTTGCAAAGATTGCAAGTAGCCCTGGTCTTCGCTGCATCGCGGGAAAAAACTTCCAAACGACTGAGCGTAACTTTCACTCGAATGGAGAGGTGACCGAAGCATATCCTGCGACAGGTCAGCAGATGCGGAGCAAGACATCAGTAGAGTCCACCAAAGCTGCAACGACAACTGAAACAACTCAAGTGTCGTGCAGGCATACAGTCACCTGTAACTGCGAGTGATTTTCACTTTGCGCGGGACTGGACTCTCGATCGACCAGGGAGTCGTAAAATATTTTACGACTCTCCGGTCGATATGTACTGCCATGTGTACGGAGTACGGTGTACGGTGTTCGTTAGTGCAAACGAGCTGGCCGCACAAACGAGCCGAGTTTCTGGCGAGGGGGGCTAACGAGTATCCAGTGAGATCGTTTCAACACTAGATACAAGCATTTGGATGTGTTGCCAGCGGCACCGAAGACATGGTGACTTGACGACAAGATGATAGTGCTCAATGCGTCCAACCAGGAAGTGATTCGGTGTGAGCGGCAAGTCGTCGCTAGAGGGAGGAACAATTGGACGAGAGTTGAGTAGCGCCTCTGCGGTGCAGACTGCAGTTCGCAGTTCCTCATCGGTGATTGATGCCTGCTGTAGAACATGGTAAATAGCCTTCTTTGCTGATTTTACCATACTTTCGTGAACGCCTCCAAAGTGTGGTGTCTGGGCAGGGATGAAATGCCACTTGATCCTCTTCATGGTAGCGCTGTGCTCCAGGACGTATTGCTCCTGCTCGGTGAAGATCTCCGATAGCTCACGATTAGCACCGACGAAGTTCGTACCATTGTCCGAGAGCACTTCAGCAGGAACACCTCGGCGGTTGCACATTCGTTGAAAGGCGTTGAGAAAGCTGTCGGTATCCAAACCTGTGGCCATTTCCAGATGCACAGCACGGCAAAGACAGCAGGCGAAGATGCACAAATACCGCTTAGTGCGTCGTTGCCCTCGACCCTGTACCGTTGCGAATGGTCCAGCAAAGTCGACGGCCACGCGACTGAAAGCGTGGAGAGGCTCCTTCAACCGGATCTTGGGCAATGGTGCCATGATCTGCGTGGCTGGTTGTGCTTTCCGAAATTGACACTTCACACAGGAACGTCCGTACTCCCGGATGGCTTCTCGAATCGCCACGATCCAATATTTCCTCGTGAGGACTGCCATAGTGTGAGCTGTACCTGCGACGTGATGGTCTGCCTCATGCTGGTCTCTGATCACTAGCTGTGTTATCCAGCAAGACCGCGGCAAGATGATCGGGTGCTTGGCGTCTTGACTGAGATACTGTGCCTCTTGGAGCCGTCCTGTCATTTTCATCACACCAACTTCATCCAAGAGTGTGGTCAGGCTGCTCAGTGGACTGGTTGCCGGTAATGGCTTGCCCTTCTGCAGTGACGAATATTCAGCAAAGGCGTCCTTCTGGCTTGACCGAATAATGGCCTGGAGGCTGTCTTCGACTTCCTCAACCGTCAGCTGACCATACTGTCTCTGCGTGGTTGGGATTCGGCAGTTTGAGGAAAAGCGCAGCACCCACGCCGTCAAGCGGACCAGCCGCTGAAGCGAAGAGAATCGTTCAGGCGCCAGAACCCACTCACTCGTCGAGAGGAAAGACACACATGTCACTTGGTGGTGTTGATGACCTTCTTCGGGTGGTTTGGCTTTCGCGTCGACCTCTGGTGCAGCTGGAACTTTGTATCCCTCGGGCTGCTGTGGCCGTTCTTCGATGCTCTGAACGAGATATGACAGACCGTTCGACCACAGCACATTCATCGCGATAGTAGCGCTTGATGTTCCTCGTGACAGGATGTCAGCTGGATTCACCGCCGTCGGAACGTAGAACCACTGACTAGGCGAGGAAGAAGCCTGGATCTCACCGACGCGGTTGGCCACGAATGGCTTGAAGACCCGGCTGCTGTTCCTTATCCACCACAGGACATCCATGCTGTCACTCCAGAACACGACATTCTCCATTGCGATGGCGAGTGTCTTGGCTACGGACACACCAAGACGACATCCGATGACTGCTCGCATTAGCTCGAGTCGGGGAATGATAACAGTTGATAACGGCGCCACTTTTGCTCGAGCCATGACGAATCGACTGGACCTCGTACCATCCTGGTACACATGACAGAGATAAGCGACTGCTCCATATGCATCTTGCGAGGCATCGCAGAATACATGTAGCTGAGTCTCCACCACCTCTTCATCACGTTGAAAACACCGGTGAACTCGGACATCCTGGAGTGCATCCATGTCGGCACACCACTTTTGCGCCTCTGCGCCTAGCTCTGGCGGCAGGGAGTCGTCCCAGTCAGCACCTGCTAGCCACATCTTCTGGAACAACATCCGACCAACTATGGTGAATGGCAGTACGAATCCGATCGGATCAAACAATCTGGCTAGGTTCTTCAAGAACCGATCGAATATTCGAGTATTCGAGTATTCTTGATATCCTAAAAATCGCACACCAACCGCCTTAAAGATCACATGATACAACCCTGATTGAACCGATTGGCAGTTCTTTTCTCGGGTGTATTGGTTGGTGGGTCATTTGGGCTCTCTCTACTCGTGTACACATGTTCATCACACAGTCTGCACATCAATATCTGCTGAGTGCTGACTGCTGCTCTGAAGCTGCAGACTCCTGTGGTAAATGCATGTATCATGTATGAGCGAGTACTCTGATTTATTCCGAGTACGATTATATTTGAAAAATCCAAACGAGTATTCGAATATTCGGTATGGTATGGTATTTTTATTTGAATTCACCAATCAAACAGGCATATCTGCCTTCTTGCCGGGATGGCCAGAGCCAACCACGGTTCCGGTATAATTGTTTCACCCCTAATTTTTACCATGGCCTTTAATATGGAAATATTTATTTTTTTCGCAATAATTGCATGTTTGTTGAAAAAATGTAGCCATCTTTGTATTGTGGAATCCTGGTGGTGTATTTCGTAAATACTGCATGGCAATATTATTTATGAGAAATGGCAGCGATTGTAGCGATTGTGAACAATGTACAATCAACAGCATTGGCAAAAAATGATGCAGAGCTGTATGGATAGGTAGGGCCCGAATATGCTTGCGCATATTTTCGCATATTTGGTCCTTTTGACACAAGGTCGCATAAAGTAGCAAATGTAGCATATTGTACCAAATGTAGCATATTTTGCTACAAGGAGCGAAGAATTCACATAAGTATAGGGCAGATTGCGGGAATGGACAAGGAAAATTACCACGGCACGCTCGGTCAGGGAATACTTCCAAACTTAGCCCGGAAGGAAAAATGCTCATCCAAACACGGGGCGAAATTTTGACCCGAGAAGAGAGTGTCCGCGACTCATGGTCGCATAAAGTAGCAAATCTAGCATATTGTACCAAATGCAGCATATTTTGCTAGAGGGAGCAACGAATTTGCATAATTATCACTGATATCAGTTCATATTTCTAGCATATTTCGAGCATATTTTTCTGCTTTTGTGTGATTTCGAAGCATATTTTGAAGCAAGTGGCCAATATTGCGAAAAGCATAATATGCGAAATTTTTGAGCATGTTTGGGCCCTCCCTATGTATGGAACTTTGGTACAATTTGCCTGTATATTGGTATTTGAACACAATGCATGAAGCAGAAGAGCATAATAATGTTGACTTGTCAATTCATTTATAGTTAAGACATGAATATGAAACCCATGACCAATGCCAATAGCCCAATGATGAAGGGTCTGCGCAATGCTGAAGGGTCTGCGCGATTACATTGTGTGGGACATTGGATACAAAAATTCCCTGTGGCATAATCATTTACTCCATTCATACACATGCTTGAGCAGTGATATTTGTTACTGTACATGGTAAAAATCTAGTGGTGCCATGCTCCTTGGTATGTGTGCCACTATGTGTGTGTGTGTGCGTGCGTGCGTGTGTGTGTGCGTGCGTGCGTGTGTGTGTGTGTGTGTGTGTGTGTGTGTGTGTGTGTGTGCATTGCACTCTCTGTGTATAGATGCCTATGTAGATATCACCATGGTCAACAAGGTCCAACGCTTCCAGCTGCCAACAGTGGGTTGCCTCATTTCTCCCACTGGGGTGGTCCTAGCTTGAAGTGATGTATATCTGCTTACATTTGAAAGCCATCTGCTGGAAGGCAGTCAAATGGGTTTTTCGTCAAACACAACCCTACCAATGAAATGAAGGCAACGAGGCAGGAGAGCAGAGACAACGAATGGTAGAGTCACGAGGTGGCTGTGCCGGTGGGGAAGATCCAGCTCAACAAGGTGTTCTTGCAAGTTTGATCAGTACACCACCCTGGTCCGAATCCTCAATATCAGTGAACTTACAGATTGATGGCTGCTGTCTTGACTCGTGATGCCTACGATTGGATACAAGCTGCTCGAAGTATGTTTCAAATAAGAGTACATGTATTTTGAACTTAGCATGAGAGGCATCCACTTCGTGGATAACAGCTTTAGTTGAATGGTTTTTTTCACCCTGAAGATGGGCCATGCCCGAAAATTTGGTGCATTCCATTTATATCTGATATTATTATTTTTTTGGAAGTGAAGTGAACTTATGCAGCGAAGAGACCGTAGTTGGAGAGTTTGAAGTGAGGTACCCGGTAATGTGTGAATGGCTGCAAAGGAGTCTGCGAGTGCTTAGAAAAAAAACACTCTCCTTAGGCGAGACAAAAAAAATTAGTGATTCCCGGGCCCTCCCGCACCAAAATGGAGCCAAGGCCAATTTTTTTTAACAGTTCATAATACATCTACAGCACCAATCGTGTGAGTAGATCTGTGACGTGGAGTCACACAAACCCGAGCCTGTACGACTCCTTGATGTACAGATCAGAACCATCGTTGGCCGAAATACAGAAAAATTGAACGGGTAAACCGCGTGCCTGTTTTTTTGTGAAATTTGAATAAAAAAATAAAAATTACTGGAAAATACTGTAAAAAAAGCTCGGCATGGCATATGCGCATACGTATATACACAGTCATAGGAAAAAAAATAAAAATTCGCCCGCCCGCACCAATTTCACATGGGTCCTGCCCGGGAATCTCGATTTTATTTTGGTCTCGCCTTATTGCACTATTTAGCTAATACTCCATTTGTTGTAGGAGCTACCACATCACTACAAGCATGCATTCATTTCCTGGCTGGCTTGTGTAAACTTATGAATGCAATCACGTGACGCTTCGTGTACATATGCTCCCATACTTTAGCGCACGTGCGTGCGTGTGTTCAGGTATGGGTGTGTATGTTCGTGCACCTACATGCATGTGTGCGTTTACATGTACAATCAGTCATGCAGACTTGTGTGGGTCTGTTTAAAACCGCATGGACACATGTCAATTCCCGTGTGCATGTATGTACGGGTGTGTGGGTAAGCATATTATTTGCTCTGTGCGTCCACCGTGCATGAAGGCATGTGTACTTTATGTGTTGTAGCTTATGGCATGGCGGTTGTGCTGTAAACAGTAGCACCTAATTCTGGCCATCCGCAGATGCCATTTTTTCACTTCAATTCTGCATTGGCTCAGGTGCTGTGTTTGTAGTGTCACCCTCTCTGCATGATTTTTTTGTATTTCTTCAAGTTCCCATCTCAGTACCGTATTTGGCTTGATATTTATATTCAGTTTGGTTTGAGAGACGGGTGACTCTTCTCTCCATCTCCTGCTTCTTGCTGGGGATGATATTGGTCTAAACGTTCAACGGACAGAGTCGGTAACGGACAGAGTCGGTAACGGACAATGAGTGAGAATAGAGGTTTCAGAGGCCTGAATAAATTCAACTTGGCCTGCTTCAATGTGCGTGGACTAAGTTCTCGGAGTAAACAACACCAAATTATCGAGGACGCGAAAAACTACAAGCTGGACGTTTGCTGCTTGCAGGAGACGAAAGCGCCGGAGGGGGTCGACTATTGTCAGGACGGCTACCGCTTGCTGCTGCTTCCTTCAACGAGCCGTCACTACGGGCTCGGTTTCGTTGTGTCACGGCGTCTGTCGGACAAATTTGTTCGTCACTGGGTGGTTTCCGACCGAGTCGCAGTAGCGCAATTCAAAGTAGCTAAAAGCGTCATTTCCGTAGTGAACGTCTACGCGCCGACGTCGGGACTTGTTGCGACGTCGCATGACTATTTGGAGGAGTTTTACGACAGTCTTGAGAGGGCGCTCACAGATATTGAATCGTCATCCAGTCTAATGTTTGTAGCTGGGGATTTTAACGCTAAACTGGGCAGACCTAGTGCAGCATTCAACTGCATTGGCCAGCATGGACGCGGACGACGAAACTACACTGGTCTTGCTTTGGCAGAATTCTGTGGGTCCCATCAACTATTTGCTGCCAACACAGCTTTTCAGCACAGAGCATGTCATACCACAACATGGTCAATGACTCGGAGATTAGCATCAGGAATCACGGTCAAGGTGTATAATCAAATCGATTTCGTACTGTGCCAAAATTCCCAGAAGAGCCTTCTTCTGAATGCACGGTCATATGCTGGAACGTCTACCTGTAGCGATCACCGCTTGGTGATTGCTACCTTTGACCTACCAAAATTCTACGTCCTAACGTCACCGAGAAAGCATACCCCGCAAGACAGTCGGAAGAAAATGGATGTGCAGCAGTTGACAGCCAGCGCAGAGAGAAGACAGCGCTATCGGGACCAAGTTGAAAAGCATGTTACAACACTACCTCCCCTGGAGAAGGAACACCTTGATGAAGGCTGGACTTCAGTTGCAGGAATGATGCATGCCTCGGGATTGGCAGCTGCGGGAGAACTGAAGCTGACACGGCGTTATAGACACGGTTGGGATACGGTGATGGAAGAACTCTCGGAAAAGATGAAAAATCTGCGACTCCGCACGATGAACGCTCAGGACACCCACCAGATACAGAAACTCCGTGAGGAGAGAAACCAAGTCTCGCACCAACTGCGACGTAGAGCCAAGGAATGTGCATCTGCAGACCTAGACAGAAAAGTATCAGAGATCGAACAGCTGAAGGATGATGCCCGAATGTTCAGAGCTGTACAACAGCTACACAAGAACAGAACCAAGCAGGCTGTTGTGGCTGACCAAGATGGCAGGCTAATAGTCCAACCTGAGGAAATGGCTGAAAAGATAGCAGAGCACTTCCACGCTGCTCTCTCAAATAGCGACCAAGAGAGACTGAGCATGGCTGACTATAACATGGGCGAAATGGAAAAGCCAATCGCGACGATCGAAGTGAGGAGAGCAGCAGCACGGCTAAAGAACAACAAGTCACCTGGGCCAGACAAACTCCCAGCAGAACTATTCAAATATGCGCCTGACAGCCTTTTCACATATCTTGCCGAACTGTACACCATGTGCGTTGAGACAGGACAACACCTGACACTTGGCAGTGGCGAGTTAATCCCGCTGCAGAAGCCAGGAAAACCAAGAGGCCCGGGAAGTAGTCTGAGACCCATTGTTCTGCTCAATGCCCTGCGCAAGGTACTTTCTTTAGTGGTTCTAGCACGAATAACCCCCCGAGTTCAAGCTTATGTATCGCAAATGCAGAGTGGGTTCAGACCGAATAGAAGCACTACAGATGTAGTATGGGCTCATCGATGGATCGCTGCACGCTGCCAGCACCTGCAGTCCAGTATAAGTATTCTGGGTATCGATATGTCTCGCGCCTTTGACACTATTAGTCGCCGGAAACTCGTCAATGTGTTGCGGTCATTCCTGGAGCCAGATGAGGTGCGCCTGGTCCAGCTCCTGGTTTCAGATACAACACTATCAGCACGCATCAAAAATACCCAAAGCCGACCATTTGCAACAACATCTGGCACCCCACAAGGTGACTCGCTGTCACCCGTGTTATTCATCATCTACCTCGAGACTGCACTGCGCCATGTTTTCTCCTGTATTCCACCTCGACCTAATCTAGACATCACCCTCAACCTGCCGCCGTCCCTAGGTTATGCCGATGATGTGGACTTCGTCAGCACCAGTTCTGAGTACCTGGACTCGATCCTTCCTATTGTTGGCGACTGCCTCGCGGACTGGGACCTGAAAGTTAACCAAGCCAAAACAGAACGCACTACTATCCAGAGGAAGAAGGACCGAGTGGAGGAAGAGTGGAGGCGCACACGCAAGCTTGGATCCCTTATTGGAGACAAAGAGGATGTCGCACGCCGAATCCAGATTGCTTCGGGCACATTCAACAAGATGTGGCCATTGTGGTCACGCGGACATCTGGTCTCCGAAAAGCTACGGGTGAGGCTCTACGAAGCCTTCATCAAGCCTCTGCTGATGTACAACGCAGGTACATGGGGCCTCTCAGACTCTCAGCTGTGTACTCTTGACTCGACATATCGGAGACACCTGAGAGTTGTTGTGGGTATCCGCTACCCACAGATAATCAGCAACGATGACCTCCACCGCAGAACAGAGACACAGCCCCTAACTGTCCTGGTTAAAGCTGCTCGGATGCGACTACTCGGTCACATCTGCAGACTGGACAAGGAGTCCCCAGCACAAATGGCTATGACATCATACTTCCGGCAAACAAAGGACGAGAAAAAATTCCGTGGCCGGCCGCCTTCCACACTCCCAACAATACTGAGAACGGACCTCGCAACAAAGGGAATGAAGCTGCAGACGGATAAAGATCTCTCACACATCAGGGACCTGGCAGAGGACAGAGCAGTATGGCGGCAGCTCTTCCGCACCTGAGCCTGCAGAGGAATGCCCGGATTTGCCCAAACGGAACATGACATGATGTATGGTGAATTCAATGGACAATCTGATATATTTCTTCAATATCCTTTGCCTCCTGTTTCTTTTTTCCTGCCTTCGACCCCGCTGCTCTGTGACCCTTCCCTCGCTTTCTCTTGTCCTTACTGTCTTTTGACTTGTTGAGCGGCCTGAGCGAATGCTAGGGGTGGATGTGTATTATGTCGATTTGTTGATTTTTGTAGTAACACACCCTGATGCAAACGCGGAGAGGCAAATAATAAATAATAATAATTTACTATTCTACAATACAAGTGTATAAGCACCTGCATTGATCTGCGAGGGTTTGTGTTTGGAGCTCCAGCAACCTGTTGGGGTTCGTGTTGTTTGTAAATTCGTGGTCTACGGATACAATGGTCTGGCTGGTACATCGCAGAATACTAGGACCCCTTGAACGATTCTGTCGGTCGTTCCTCCACCAATTGAAGACATGTGTGTGTCAAAATGTGTCAAAAATACAGTGTTGACGAAACGGTTGGTATCACCGCTGTTGGATTTTTTTGCACAAGCCAAAATTGGAGGATGCACTGTTGGCTAATATATCTTTCTAATTCAATAAGCAGGAAATAGCGAAACCCGTGTACAAACCGGAAAAAAACCCAACGGCACGAAATTATAGCATGTTCAACCAAAATATCAGCGACATAACGAAAACGCAAGCGACGAGCGAGAACTCAACTTCTCGTTATTTGTTATCGCCACACAACAAAACTTAGGGCAGAGAACAACGATTAGGTTGGATTTCGACAACGATCTGAGACGAAGAACTCACGGGAGACGTAAACCAAAGGACGACGAAGGTGACGCCATTGAGTATTCGCCTCGCGATATCTTGAGAAAACTGCGAAATCTGGAAAATATAAAGTGCAACTTAATAGGCCATGTAATTATTGATTGTTTGCTCATCGGAGCTTCAAGCTTCGATATAACATGAACAGTGTATTGCCTATGATGTCATAAATATTTCCACTCAAATCCAACCGGAACTTCACAGCATGCAAAAAATAAAATCACGAAACCACATCAGCAAAGTTGCCTTTTTTATTTCCGCTCGACCGAAGTGATTAGTAAATCTTGGCTCTTCTTCTCTCGCGATTAGAAATGGACGAAAACACGATCCGTCAAGCTGTTTCGTCAGCCGTTTTAGACCTCCTTGGTCCTATCAATGATCGTTTGCGTGT